CAGAGGCAAAGAACCTTGATTAACTTTCTGGTATATTGTTCTGCAGGTATGACATTCATTAAATATGTTGATGCTTCAGACATTGTGAAAGATGTAAAAAATCTGTTCAATTTGTTTGTTGATGTTATTGAATGGATTGGGCCTGCAAATATTGTGCATGTTGTGACTGATAATGCGGCAAATTATGTAGCAGCTGGAAAGTTGATTCACGATAAGTATGAAAACATTTTTTGGTCCCCATGTGCAGCACATTGTTCGAATCTGATATTGAAAGACATCTCTTCATTACCTCATATAAGCCAACTTGCTTCTCGTGCTTCAAAGATTACTATCTTTGTCTATAATCATATGGTATTTTTGTCGTGGCTTAGAAAAAGGCCTGGTTGGAAAGAGATAGTACGTCCAGGAGTTACTCGATTTGCTACGGTCTTTATTACTTTAAAAAGCATTTGTGATCATAAAGAGGACTTGCAAGCCTTGGTGGTTGATAAACACTTTACTGGTCATAGATTAGCTAAAAGTGTTAATGGAAAAAAAAGTTTGCGAAACCATATTGGATGCTAAATTTTGGCGAGAATGCCAAATTGCGGTTAAGCTTGCAGGACCTCTTGTTAGACTGTTGCGAATTGTTGATGCGGACGAAAAACCGTCTTTAGGGTATGTGTATGAAGGACTGCAAAGGGCAAAGAATGGTATCAAACAGATGTTCGGAAAAAGAAAAAGTGTGTACAAGCCTTACACTGAAATTATTAAGGCTCGATGGGATAAACACTTGCATCGTAGTATCCATGCTGCAGCTTATTTTCTCAATCCTGCTTTCTTTTATGATGAAAGTTTCATTGAGAAACATAGAGTGTTGAATGGATTACTTGATATATTGGACATCAAGAGCCTATGTAATGATTCGATTAAAGCAATGAAAGAGATACATATATATAGAGAGCGCAAGGATAGTTTCGCTAGACCATCTTGTTTACAGGCTGCAAAATCACTTGCACCAGGTAAAATATTATTTATAGTTGTATAGTTCTTTTTACGTGCATATTCTATAATTCATTTACTTTTAATAAACTTTGTTCTTATTTTATTATTGCAGATGAATGGTGGAGGTTGTTTGGCGGGAGTGCTCCCATATTAAAAAATATTGCCATCCGCATCTTGAGTCAAACTTCTTCATCATCAGGATGTGAATGAAACTGGAGTTTGTTTGATATGATCCACACCAAAAAAAGGAATAGATTGGAGCATCAAAGTCTTTGTGATCATGTTTACATCACTTACAACTTGCGTTTGAAAGATAGGTAAGTTAATATTATTATTTATTAATTAATATGTGCAAAGTTTCTTTTGTTGGCATTTATTACATTTTGAACTTCTCTAAATTAATTATATTTTCTACATTATAGGAAGATCAAAAGAAAAGATCTTATGATCCAATTGATTATGAAAGCATTGACAAGCTTGATTTTTGGGTGGTGGATGAAGATCCACAACTGGAATTTGATGAGAATGAAGTTGAAAACTTAATTTATGATGAACAAGCTATTCCAATTGTTGGTAAGTTGTTTGCTTACAAAAAAATTATATCATGGTATATTTATTTTTAGCACTTCATGTTAATCACTTAATCTATGCTCCTTTTTTTCTTCATTTACGTAGATCGCAATGAAGTTAACATGGACATAAATATGCCCGATCCATCCAATTTGAACTCCGGTGATGGTGGAGATGATGGAAATGGGGAAGATAAAGACGATCTTCTTGGTTATGGTTATGCCGATGTTGGATTTGGAGGAGTTAGTGGAAATTATGATGATTCGTTCTAGTCGGTGAATTGTGTTGTTTTGCAATGGATTTGAACTTGAACTACTTGACACTATTTATTTTTCCTTTGATGTAATGTTGGATTTGATGTATTTTGAATTTGATGTTTGATGACTTTGTAGTTTGTATTTTTATTTCGGATTGTCTTGCTTTACATATTCATCTATTGTTTTAGTTAACTTAAATTAGTATTGTTTATTGTAAAATATACTTAAAATATTGATTTATCATCTCTTATTTATAAAAATGT